GGCGAGGGGTGCGCGGCGGCCCGGGTAGTGCGCACCCCACACGGGAACGGGGAGTGAACCGTGGGGCCAGGCAGGCTGTAGGGCGGCGGCACCGTGGGGGCGAGTTGAGGGTGGCAGCGCTGGGCTGAGGGGGGCTGAGCCGGGGGCCACCCGGCAGAGGTGCGGGGAAGGGCGCGCACACCGCGGCAGGCGGTGGAAGGCGCGTAGTTTTCGTGGCACATGCCACAGGCCGAGAAATCAGGGTTGAAGGTGTGCGTTGTCATCAGGCTGGTGTACTTTAAAAGAATAGAAGTTTAACAGCTAGCGTTTCGGAGGTGTTTGCATCTTGACCACCAGCCTCTGTGCTTCACTGCAGCTTAATTTAAGAAGTGATCTCCTGAAAGCAGGTTAACGGGATGAACAATGCCCGATAATTCTATTACAAAATAACTTCATTTTAATGTCTTAGTCATAACTCGACATACCACAGCATACTGTACCATCAGATATGTCAGAGTTTTTGGTCTCATAGTATGACATTGCCACCTTTCTAGCACTTGTGGTTATCATCTCTTAGCTGAAGTGTCAGAAGTGCTGCACATATCTTAAAAGTTGGAAATAAAATACTGCCCACCAGAAAGACAGCTCTTGTTGCAAAACACCTTCTTTTAGTTAACTGGGTAGAGCAAGTGCTGTTTGTGAAGAGAGTATTACTTTTTACCTATAGATAGCCTCTGGGGAAATCCCTTAGTCATGAATTAGGTGAGAAGCAGACTATTTCAAGAAGAGTATGAGGTATTTAGAAATGGAATATAGGTAATAAAGTCTTATGTTAGAGAAATGGAGAGTATAAAGGGATTCAAGCAGTCATTTTTTGATTGCAGGATATTAAATATACTTGTACTCAGCCCTTGTCTGTCCAGACCCCCAAATAGCAGGCACATTTTTATGTTAGAGCTTATTGCATGTTAATGCTACCACTTACTGGGTTTACTTAATTGTAGAAATGTTTGCCTTCACATATAGGGTCCATGACCATATTCTCAAACAAGGTTATTATTGGTTAACTTTTTGTACTTACACAGTCTGTTTTATTTGGGAACAATATAGCTATCTGCTCTGTTAAACATGCAGAACCACTAATATTTTTCAGAATGTATTGCACGAGTTAAAGATTTTGAACATGTGCTTGTGTAATGGACACAGCCTCTAGTTCTCTTTATTGTCCCAAACATTGTATTTTAATTTGGAACCTTCATTGGTTGAAAGTTTGCCAAATGTGTAATTCACCACTGATCTAACATTAAGAGCAGGTCTAAACATGCACAGTAATACGAAGGTTGCCAGCTCTTTGCTTGTATCTGTGGATACCAAAAACAGCAGAACCAGTTCAGAATACTAGAACAACAGAATGCAGAACAAAATCTTGTTGTGCAAGTTTTAAAACTTTTATCTGTGTAACCTTTGTAAGGATCATAGTGCGTTTTTTGTGCTTTGTAATTAAGTAGCTCAAGTCCTCATGTTCCACTCATGTCTTGCTATGTTTCCTTCTGCAGTATATATAGTAGTGACGATGATGAAGAAGACGTTGAGGTCTATGATCATGATTATGATGGTCTGCTTCCTAAGAGTGGAAAACGTCACTTAGGAAAAACCAGGTGGACCCGCGAAGAGGTAAATATGAGTTCATTCATCTCCTGCATGTAAAAAGATGGAGAGAGCATCGGTCATGTTCTTCTTTGAGTTACTGATCTGCAAACTGGCCTCAGTGACAGTCCCATGTATATGAATGAGGACAACGTTTTTGACTCATTAGCTACATTCAGTGTTTTATTTAACTTTGAGGATCTTCGTTACCTTTTAAATAAAATGTATAAACACCAATTTTTTATGTCCACCAAGGCCTATGTTACACGTATGTGAGTCTCTGTGTAATAATCCCTGTTGGGGAAACAGATTTGGAGTCACCTGCAGCAATGCTTGATTGTTACTGCTGCCTCTTTTTGTTTGAAGATGGTTGCTATGTGAGAACTGACGTGTGTTCAGTGTCCCACAGCAGCAAACAACTGTGGTAGAAACTGCTGCAGTCCTTTTTCTGCCATTTGAAATTTGCACTTTAATTGCAACATTATGATTCTGAGTGGAAATAAATTAAAAGCTGGAAGAAAGAAATCCAGCAGTACCAAAATTGAGCATTCAAGATGTATTTTGCTTTTGAAGGTCAGAATGTGTTTTAGTCACGATACCCTTGTGCTGACTTTCCGGGTAAATTGTGGTATCGAACTCCTTTGCCAGGTGGATATCCTGTGGCCATTTAACTGGTTTGTTTATTGTGAAATACATTAATACAGTTCTTAAGTTATGTTTTGACTCTCTCCTCTCTAACAATGTATATTGATATATAAACAGTGGCAGGTCACCTCTTGCAAGCATTTTTCATTTTTTTTAAATTGTAGGCTGCTCTTACAGAGGTGGATGTGGTTGTGATGTGGCCTGGGAGGAAGGGATGGCCATGGAGCCCAAGGTCCACTTCCCTGTCACATGAATTCGGGTGTACTGGGAGGCACTAATCGGGGAAGGGGAGGGTTGCACCCCTCCTCTTATCTCTTGGGGCAGTTCTCGCTTGTGTTTACACTATCTTGATCTTTCCCAGTACATGAGATTGGTTTCTTTTGTCTTTAGAGTCTATATTTCTGGCCTTACCATTAAAAATACTGGGCCAAATTTCTTGCTATTGCGAGTGTGCAAAACTCCCTCACAGCGATCCAGAGCAAAAAGGAACCATTAGTTTTATTGTGCATTCATTGTACACGGACAGGCAATGAGCAAATTACTGGAACTCCAAGTACTTGCAAGACATATAAAGCTTAAGGCTGTGATTTTCAGAGGTCCCCAGACAGCTGGGTGCCTGAGTGTTACTGAATTTCATTGTTACTCTGATGTTTGGCATCTAAACATCCATGCCCTCCTGTAAATCCAGTACAAGAATAACAGTTACATTGCTTTCAGCAGTAAAATGGGAATGTATAATGCGGGTCAAAGAACAGCACAGAAGAAGTTGGTCTTTCTCCTGCAGCACAGTAAAGAACCTATCAAAATCCACAGCAGTAGAAAAATGTCCTGATTTAGGCAATTGAAAGCATGAGAAGACTACAGACCACCTCCTTTTACACTCAGGAAGCAGAAATAGATGCATAAAAAGTCAGAAGGACACCATTTTTTAAAAAATGTATTTCATTTGCATTATGAGAGATTGTGATATTAATTATATCTGTTTTTTTAATGATTTCAGGATGAGAAACTGAAGAAGCTTGTGGAGCAGAACGGCACAGAAGACTGGAAAGTCATTGCCAATTTCCTTCCTGTAGGTGGATAGTGGTTTCTGTTTCCAGTTCTAGTGACAACTCTTTATCAGAGGTTTCCAAGCAAGGGAAGGGGGAGTGGTTGCTTTATAGTTACATTTTTGCGGGAGATGCAGAAACTCCACAGATGGAGATCTCAGAAATTGAGTTAGAATATTGTGGAAACCCTTACCTTTAATTTTCATTTCACTTTTCTCAGAAAGGGTTGCAAAAAATCGGACAAACAAAAATGGGGGGGTGGCAGGGTGTTGCACCGCAGATGGTCAATGTGACACTGAAACAAAGTGTCTCAGCACGGAGGAAAAATAGCTTTGATGAGTTGTAAGTATGGTTTAGAAGCTAATTGCTTTGTGAACACTTCAGCTGTTGTAGAAATACTGCATGTGAAAGCATGACAGCTATTGTGTTGATGGTGAAGATTCAGTTTGTGTATTTTTGGTGATACGGTCCTCACTGCAGAAATGATGGAAATCTGATCTACTTCAGTGAGCAAATTGGTAGTTGAACAGCTTCTTCTCAGACTCCACATTGTTTAGTAGTCATAGCTGGCAGTGAAATATGTTGGGAACAAGTGTGCCTAGATGAGAGCGCTATCACTCTACATTCATCATGTCTAAAGAATGATGTACTTTACATATTTTACATTTCACTAGAATCGGACAGATGTTCAGTGCCAGCACCGATGGCAGAAGGTACTAAACCCAGAACTTATTAAAGGCCCATGGACTAAAGAGGAGGATCAAAGGGTAATCAATTTTCCTTTCTGTCTGATTAATGCCTTACTACCGGATTTCGTGTGTTGGGGCAAAACTCCTAGAGACTTCAGTGGTCTCAACTCTAATATGGCCAGAGGCAGACCGGTCCTGTCAGTATCTTAGTATTTGTGTAGTGCTTTCTAAATTTTCTATGCAAGCTAATTAATGCTGCTTTACAGCACTGTAATGTAGAACTGCAGTCTAGAAATGCCTTAACTACTACCAGATTTTTCCTTTTGGGTAAAAGTATAAATGGGAAGTGGGGAACCTTAATTGTGTGTTAGTTTTACCGTGGCAATTTTGAGAAATGTTGTTGAAAATATTGCTCCACCACAGAAAAATTTCATTGATTCGTTATGCATCGTTAAATACAGGCAGTTTTTATGTCCTTCTTTGAAGGTAATAGAACTCGTGCAGAAATACGGTCCAAAGCGCTGGTCTGTCATTGCTAAGCATTTGAAGGGAAGGATTGGAAAACAGTGCAGGGAGAGGTGGCACAACCATTTGAATCCAGAAGTGAAGAAAACCTCCTGGACAGAAGAGGAAGATAGGATTATTTACCAGGCACACAAGAGGCTGGGAAACAGATGGGCAGAAATTGCAAAGTTGCTGCCTGGACGGTAATGACATATACCTTTAGCTCTCAAATAGGAAAAAAGGAAAAAGCTGCAGGTCTGAGCAGTCCATTTCAGTTGACTCAGGCTGCGCTTTATAAATCAAAAAATTTTGGAATCAAAACCTGGAAAGCCAATGACATCGATGTACATTTTTCTCAGTGGGGAACTGTGCCGTTTGGTCAGTACATGGAACGGTGTGCTATTTTTACATGCTTTTAATGTTGGCCATTGATAAAAAAACTCCAGTAACTAGAGCAAGACCATTACAGTTTCCTAAATGTCTGTGCAATCTTATTTGTGCTTGCAATAACTGTCAGAATTGAAATTGATTTAACAGGGAAGGATCTGCAAGTGGAACATAATTTACATTCATCTAAGGGTATACCTGCAACATGAAATCCAGTCTGTTTATTCAGAATAATTGAAGAGAAGGCTTCTTCGACGTTTGTAATTGCTGCTGAATGATCCAGATGATTTTGACCTGTTAAAAATCCATGCATAAAACAGGAGAAACTGACTTCCTCAAACTCTGGTCCTGGAAATACTGTCTCATTGAAAGCTTATGCATGCTGTGCATATAGTTTCAGAGACTCAATGTCTTACTTGCTCTGTAGTAGAAGTGACTCAGCAAAGTGTAGTCAAGCAAGTGAAGTAAGCAAGGGAGAGGTTTCCCTTTCCATTTTTATTCCTGCTATTTGGTGAAACATCTTCAAGATCTAAATATAGTGCCTAAGATCATGGTAGCCTTTTAAGCGTTCATTCCCTAGTCTGCTTTCACCTTCTAGAAGAAAACAATAAAGGAATTACCCCTTGGAAAGTTTTGTTGTAGCTTCCACACATCACAGATACCTCTTTCAAAGATACCGTGTGGTGGTGATATTTTTCAAATAGAGGAGCTGTTTCTAAGCGTACTCTTAAAAATCTCACAGACTAGTTAAGTTTGCTTTTTCTGACTCATGTATGTGAGAATTAGAATCTCAGTTTTTCTGCATTTAAGAAAAATCTCAACAGCTTTGTTTACTGAATTTGTGTGTATAAGCAGGATGTTGTCATTTTCTAGGTTGTCACTTGGAAAGTTGCTTGGAAGTTAGTCTTTTCACAGCTGTTCTCTGCAGTGAGATACAATGAAACCCCACTGTAATACTAAGACTTAGGAAGATGGTGTTGGCAAGTCCTTTAGGGTAGCCTCAAAGGGGTGTTATCTGTCCCCTCACCTCATGGGAATGAGTTGAAGCTGAAGGTACTAATTTCTTACAGTTTGAGGACCTAAGGCTTAGTGATTGCATTAAAAAGTACATAAACAGCCATGGCCCATTTGTCTTTTCCCCTGCCTTTTATACTGAGCATCTTTCCTGAGAAGTTGTATTTGTAAAGGTGGGGACAGGAGGAAGGTCAGAGAACAGCTCAAGGTTTAAACAGAAACGCCAACAGCAGTTACTTGCCTATTAATCTGTTTGAGTTGGAAACGCTCGTTTTGAAAACTCCTCAAATGTATGTATTTCTGTTCCAGAACTGATAATGCTATCAAGAACCACTGGAATTCCACCATGCGCCGCAAGGTTGAGCAGGAGGGCTACCTGCAGGAGTCCTCCAAAGCCTGTCACTCCTCAGGAGCTGCTGGCTTTCAGAAGAGCAACCACTTGATGGCCTTTGCTCACAACCCGCCTTCTGCACAGCTGCCAGGAGCCAGCCAGCCCCCGCTGAGCAGTGACTACCCCTACTACCACATCTCTGAGCCACAAAACGTAAGCGCCTGAAAATGGAGGGGAGTGGGGGTTGGGTTGTTTTGCTTTGTTGAATAGGTGGGTGCAATTCAGCCATGCCTGTTTTCAGGAAGCGCAAAGGGGTTTCTCCCAGCCTTGGTGGACTCGTATGTGTTTGGTGTCAGGCAAGGTCTTCTTTGACTTTGACTTCATTCAGTGATGAAAATATGTACATTTCAAATTGGCTAGCATTCAGGTGATTTGAATCGGGTTCAGCGTTTTTAACGTCTTATAAGCAGTGAACATGTTTCCAGTAGTTTCTTATAGTGGTGAATATGACATTTCTTGGAGATCAGTTGAATCTGGTTAATTCTGTGTTCTATGTCAAAATCTCCCACGTTCCCTTCAGTAATATTCTGTTTGTGGGTTGCCTGTTGGAACCAAGTAAACAAGTATTGGTTTTAATCTGATTTCTTTTATTAATGATTAATAATGAAACAAGCTGCTGCTTCAGACAGTTACACTGTAGAGTTTTAGATGATAATAAATTGCATCTTTTGCATTTTCACTTCAATTTAGAAAAATCTTACAAATGCCTCTATAAATTATTCATATTTTCTCGTTCAGGAAGGGTAGATATTTCATATATGGATTTTCTTTCTTCCTCTGTAATGCTCACTGTCATATTTGTAAAAAACTTTACTTTTCTTATAAACATTATTGGGGTTTTTGGTATTTCATCTCCATAGAATATAAATATTAAGTGCCTAAAACCAAAGTATGTTTAACACAAATTCACCATGCAGGCAGACAGTATGATAGAAATAATAACTTGTAGTGTCTTTTGCTTTTTGGCCTAGGTCCCTGGTCAGATCCCATATCCAGTAGCACTGCATGTAAATATTGTCAATGTTCCTCAGCCAGCTGCCGCAGCTATTCAGGTAGATAACTTGAACCTCATTTCAAGAGTCTATTTATTAAACATTTGTAAGTCAAAATGCAGACATCATACATTAAGGAAATGTTTTAATGTAATAAGTGTGGTGAAGAGATAAAATGGGGAAGGTGGGGGAGTTCTAACATGGCTAATAATTGCTTCTTCTGAAGTGGATTTAAAACACAATAGTTGACATCTGGTGTGATGGCTTTCACTTTCTCCATTTCAAATGTCTATACTGAAATTCAGCAGGGACTTTGGTAGTGGAAAGCACAATTGACGTTTGTTTCATCTTTGAGTCTAATTTGGCTATTATAACCACAGGACGGCAAGCCATAAGCATTTTAGTTGCTACATCCTATCGGACCTTTATCTTTTCTTTTCCCTTAACTCTTAATTTCAGAGACACTATAATGATGAAGACCCTGAGAAAGAAAAACGAATAAAGGAATTAGAGTTGCTACTAATGTCGACTGAGAATGAACTGAAAGGGCAGCAGGCATTACCAGTAAGATTGTCACTGTGTGCTTGGATGGAGGGATAGCAGCATTACCCCAGTGCTTGTCTTTTTAACTTTTTACTCCCCCTCTGCCTTCGATACTAATCAAGGCTCTATATTTCCGTTTTAAAAGTATGAAACATAGCACATATGTAATCCGTATTTGCTTCGTAAATTCTTTTATTGAAAAAAAATAAGCAAACAATTTGCAGGTATTTTACTTTGCAAAGTGGGAGCAGGGCTGGGCTCTGTAATGTGATGTAATACTGGAAACATAATGATTGTACGAAGATGAAAAGTCCCACAGATCTTAAATCAATGGGATCTGCATTTCTTAAAGTGTGCGATGGTTCATGTGATGAAAATGTAGTGCCTGCACGTTAGATTTTTCTTCTCTGTTGTATTCTTTCCTTCAGCTGTGTTTTATACACTTTGTAAGCTTCAGGCTTGGTGCATGTTCGACAGTTTGTTTTACTTCTCCGAATAATGTTAGATTCTTCATAACTGCATGTGTGGAGCAAATGCTGGCTATTACTGAATTCTCACACTTTATTGTATATGCCATTGGATGTTGATGTGCGAAAACCCTTATGTAATTGCTTAACACCATCAGCAAAGCCAAGAATCCCCAAATCGTTTTTGAAGATAGGTGATAGCCAGCAGATTCTTTTTTTTTTTTTTTGGGTAATATTTAAATTAATAGTAAAACAACTGCATGCATGATACGTTAGTTTGGCCACTTTTTAACTTTAGTTAATGTTTTGCAATTTCTTCTGTTGCATGATCACACTGGAAAGAAACTTCTGTTAATTTGTTCTTCTGCTTTCCTAACCACGTTGATTTGACAGCCTCTCCATTGCATTGGTGTAAGCTGTAGCATTAGACAGGGACAGAAGAAGAAAAGGAGATAAGCAAACAAAAGCAACTCTAACTCTTAAACCCTTTAGTCTTCTACAGTGCTGAGCGCTCAGTAGGGAAATCCTGCCGTTTCTTGCTTCTCACAGAAAATGACTTGCAGACACTTTGTGAGCTTTTGGAGTAACACAGTATGGATTGATTATGTGTTAGTAATGATACATGCTCGTAATCCTGGAAGTAAATTATGAGGTAACTTTGGGATAACAAATACAATGCCGATATTACTTAAAACGAGATCTTGCACTGATGAAAGGAAACATCTTGACAATTGTTTCATAGGCATAGGCTTTTAGATGATGATGCAACTACTTTTATCTTTCCTCCAGTGGCATCTGACACCTTGTGCAATTTCATTGCTAAGTTCCTTCTGCCTTTCCCCCCCCCTTTTCTTTTTTTTTTCTTCTTCCTTTAGACACAGAACCACACATCAAACTACCCTGGCTGGCACAGCACAGCGATTGCTGACAGTACCAGGACCAGTGGTGACAATGCACCTGTTTCCTGTTTGGGGGAACATCACCACTGTACTCCATCTCCACCAGTGGATCATGGTTGCTTACCTGAAGAAAGTGCATCCCCTGCACGGTGCATGATTGTTCACCAGAGCAACATCCTGGATAATGTTAAGAATCTCTTAGAATTTGCAGAAACACTCCAGTTAATAGACTCCGTAAGTAGACTTGCCGCCTCAGGTGGATTTGTGTGTGATCAAGGAGTAAGGGGAGAGGAGCTGGGACATGTGTTTCCTAAATGTGTTTCTTTTTTTTTTCCAAGTAACTTCTAATTGCTACAAGATCTGAAGTTTAGTTTCTGACATAACAAAACACGGCTGCTCATAAATGAAGCCCTTGAGTGTGGATGTGTATGCTTTTTGTGGGTGTCTCCCTTTCCTGCTACATCTTGTTGTGGGAGTGTGATTTTTAGCAAACTGCACGATAGGAGCTTGAAACGATCTCTTGATATTAAGTGTCCTTAAAGTAAAATCAGAGACACCATTAAAGATTTTAAGTGACACATGCCATAGGTTTATGTGTAGCTGCGCATGTATCTGCATCGTTTTCTAAAAGTTTTTGTTGCAGCTTCAATAGCTGCTTCTCAAAGTTGAAGGAGCTTGCCCTGGCATATGTGAAGAACTGGAAACACATTTTAAATTACAGGTAGCTGACTGATGTTGACACGGGCCTTTTCTCATTGTGGTTTCTGGGATACTACGTGTAACAGAATAACATGGCACGTTGAAATACGTTTGTTGGTGGCACCCTCCTTCAGCAGCAGAGGTGTCCGCTTCATGCAGCGTCATGTCCCACTCAGCTCGCCCAGAGCAGGAGTGCAGGTTAGGAGGAGACCAGTCTTTGTTTGGAGCCCAAGGCACATGTTTTTTGGTAGCAAAAGGCACTGTCTTCATACCAAGCAGAAAACCCTGGGCGAGTAGATAGTAAGGACATTTGGCTCTTTGTTTCTTTGGGACTTTGGACTCAGTTGCCAGCAACGCTACTAGGATGTTAGACAGTTTGATGTAGTCGAGATATATATTGAAAACGCAAATGACCATTCACAGTGTTACTACTCAAATAACAGGGTCAAGCTGAATTGAACTGGGAAAGACTTTGTTGTTGTTGGTTATGGGCATATCCTAGCACTGTATTTTCATGAGGTGGCACTATACACTGTCTTATAGCTCCGTGCCTCCCACGTTGTTTCAGGATCCTTCATCATGGGGTGATCTCAGCAGTTTTGAATTCTTTGAAGACACAGACACTTCGGCTAGCAAAGCTCCCTCAGGCAAAGTCATGCAGCTTCAGCAAAGAGGGACCAGTGCTTGTAGAGCTCAAGGACAGCCCATCACAAACTTGAACAAAATCATGTCGAGTCAGGGCTCTCCTGGCTCACCAAAGTCCTTATCTGCCTCACAGGGCAGCACGGCTCCATGGGTCCTTCTTCACAAAAGGAGAGAACACTCCAGCCCCTTAGCCAGTGGCCACAGTAGCACCTTGGTCCTAGCTGACGTCAGCAGCTCAACTCCTCCTAAGCGCTCCCCTGTCAAAAGCCTGCCCTTCTCTCCCTCGCAGGTAGACCAAGACTTCTGCACAGATGTTACTAATTCTCAAAAGTCACCCTGGCCTTAACAATTTAGAAACTAATCCTTTGGAACAAATGACTAATTACCGTTGCGCTTGTTGATTTCACTCTGTGTTTGAATCTTCTCACTGCTCTTAGTCTTCACTGCTGAGTTTAGATCATCAGCGAGCTAACTGTTGATTCTCTTATTTTAAATTCTTCTGTGGGGCTTGGGTTTGTTTTTTTTTGATTTGGATCATTTTCGTAGAGGAATACAATTGCTTGCTTTGCTTTTGCTGATGACTCCTTCAACTACTAGAGTTTAACATTTCTGATCTTTTGTAATACTTTCCATCTCTGTCCACTTACAATATGATTCACTGACCTAGAAAACCCCAAACTACATTTAAATAGCATTCAGATTGTGAGACAAACCGACAACAACCAGAAAATTCAAATCGCAGCTCACCGTCATCAACGCAGGCCATGTGGGGTGGAGCGGAATAGGAATGAGGAGGAAAATGGCCTGTTAAAATGTCCTGGTGTGCACTTCCAAATTTCTGCCGATGGTTGCTTTGTTTCACAGCTGTAGCACTATTTAAAAGTGTTTTGGTTTTTTTGTTTGTCCATTTGTGTTGGTTTTGCATTGGTTTGGCTTTAGTCCTTGAAGTCAGAGAAACACTGTTTCATGAAGGATAGTAAAAGATCACATGTAATGATCTCCCACTGTATCTCCCATTACCAATTAGGTATTTTAATCATCTATCATTTATCCAGTGAAATCCGTATTTTCTTACATGCCATGTTTTTATAAAGTGCATTTAAATCTGATGCAAGTTGAGTCTAGAAGGTAATACAGTGAATTGTTGTCAGAATAAAGGATACCACTACACTTACAGATTTGTAAATGCTAGAAATGGAAACAGTATTTTAGGTTACTAGGCAGAAGTCAAGCAAAAGCAATTTTATCCAAACTAGTACTGCTACCTCCTTTTCAGTCAGCTTTTTCCATTCCAAAACACTCCATCCACCCATCACAGGTGGCAGTTTTCATTTTATGCTGTGAAAGTGGAGCACTTTGTTTTGAGAGACGAGAGGAAATTTATTTTCCTGTCATAAACATTTTATTTACTGCCTTAAAAGCACCTGGACTCCCTATAAAAATCTTCGTGGAATTTAGCCCCATTTCCTGTGGATTTATCCCTGAAACATCCCTTACTCATTTTCAGCCAGTTCTTACTTGGGCACACTGCTCCTAATATTAATTAAAATGTATTTGCAGAAAATCCCAATCAGGCTTTTAAGATATGTGTCTTAAAGTGGTGGAAAGTGTTTCTCACTGGAATGGAGTGTCAATTTCTTTATAAATTCCCTCTCTAGAAACGCACGTTTTGGCTTCCCGAGCGCTCTAGCCAAACAGTTGAGTATTGTTTTGCCGTGTAGTCAGGCACGCCATATATACCTGCCTGCGTCCCGGGGTCAGGAGAATCACTTATGTCAATCAGAAGGAAATAATTTCTTTTTGTTTTGTTCAATAACAACTACTTGAGAAATCAACGTTGTAATCTGGATATTCCTGTTGATTTTTCCTTTTCCTACCTGCAGTTCTTAAACACCTCATCCAATCATGAGAACCTGAACCTGGACAACCCTGCGCTAACTTCTACACCAGTGTGTGGCCATAAGATGGCTGTTACCACGCCGTTCCACAGGGACCAGACGTTCAAAGCTCAGAAAGAAAATCATGTGTAAGTCTGTCTTGTCAGATTCACAAGGGTTCATTTCTTCAGGTCTGCATGCAACTGAAGTGCTGGGTCACTGTATGCTTCCTGCAGAGTTCTTTGCTAACACATTCAGATTTTTCTTAGTTTGGAGTAAAACTTCCACTTTATAACTGTGGAGGTAGGTTATTAATACAAAACAATCATGCATATAGACTCACCAGTTTTTTAAATAAAGCCATTCCACCTTATCACAGTTAAATAGATGTTCTGCCAGAAAACCAAATTGGATTGTAGGATTGTAGGAAAATACTTGTACAAGTCTTACAGCAGCCACTGCCTGTATGCATGTATTTCTGTAAAGACGTAATATTTTCAAGCATGTTCCTTTAAAGTTTTTCTCTCTCTTTCTAAAGTTTCAGAACTCCAGCAATCAAGAGGTCGATATTAGAGAGCTCTCCAAGAACACCCACTCCATTCAAAAATGCACTTGCAGCTCAGGAAATCAAATATGGTCCTTTGAAGATGCTGGTAAGAAGGAAACAATGATAAAAGTTGCTTTGATAGTAGTGCAGGGGGATGTTCTGGGACTTGGATGTAACGTTTCTTCCTTTCAGCCTCAAACTCCGACTCATCTTGTAGAAGATCTGCAGGATGTTATCAAGCAGGAGTCAGAGGAATCTGCAATAGTGGCTGGGCTACATGAAAGTGGACCCCCTTTGCTGAAGAAAATCAAACAAGAGGTAAATCTCAAACTTACCTGAGGCAATTTAATTCAGCAGTTTTCACTGAGAAGCTTATACCAATACCTTTTCTGTTAAATAGCTGTGTCTGTTTTTCTTTCATGTGAGCCCCAAGATCTTAGTGTCGGTTCTATATAGTGTACTAGGCATGCCTAGTTCATCTCCCATTGATTTCCACAGAAGTCTTTCTGCTGTTTTCAGCAGGGGTTTGCTGGGGCCGTTCTAATGCAGGTTTTGTTTGAAACTTAAAAAGAAAAAAAAATTAGATAGGAATTTGGATTGAATCTTTCTAATATTGGTGAAAACTATAGAAGAACCCCACGGGGACCAAGCTTCATGGAGTGACTTAGAAACCTGAACATTTGAGGACATTGCATTATATTACTTTGTCACTAAAGTTCTAAAAATACATGTATTCTCAATCCTTTCTAGGGGATTAAACTCCTGAATACTGACAGAGCGCTGAGTGCAAGTATTCAAAGTTTTATTAGGTGGGGATTTTTTTGAGAACCTTGAAGTTTTTTCTTCTGCAAAGAGCAAGGGTGGTGTAAAAGAGAGCGCTGTAAACATGTATTATGCATGGCCCTGAAAAATATTTACTCAATTTATTAAGAAACTCACAGATAAATCTCCTGCTGGTCAGTTAGGTACTGGTTTTTATCATGATGCCTCTCCTGCTTTCAGGTGGAGTCTCCAACAGATAAAGTTGGAAATTTTTTTTGCTCGAATCACTGGGAAGGAGAAAACCTAAACACTCAGCTCTTTACGCATGCATCTGCTATGGAAGATGTGCCAGTAAGTGCAAGTTTTCACACCACAAAGTGATTTTTCTGTTTTACATCCCTGTTCCATTCTTAAATGCAAGAGAGAAAATGTTTTGCCTGACCTTCCTCACAAGCAGGCATTATTCAGTATTTCCATATAGTTTTCCTGTATTAAGCATAAGAATCCCACTCTTGATTAGATGACTGTAGTGCCTATAGAAGGCAGCAGAAGTTGCAGGCATTGTGCAGCCCACAGCCTTTGTAATGAGCCTGCACTTGGAGGATGCCTGCACCTGTGTATAGAAATGACTAGGTCACAGAGTTAAAACTGGTAAAAGAAAGAGAGTCTGTTTTGGTTTGTGCAAAGGAGACCTTGCATGAGCACAGTTCCCTTTGCTTCGCTGGGACTGTTCAGTGTTACTGTTACTCTTGCACTTGGGAGTTTCACTGGATGAAAAACCTTTGCATGTGACAGTGTTCCTGCAAAGCCAAGACCCAGGGACCCCAGGCTGAGTGCTCTGTCTGTGACCATGCCCAGTGTTGCACCTTCTGCAGTCAGGCTGAGTTTGTTTTTAATACGTTTGAATTCAGGTTGTTCTCTTGAGTCACTGAAAACCGTTTGGTTTTTGTTTTTTTTTCTTTTCCTGTTCAGAATCTTCTTACCAGCTCCATTTTAAAGATGCCTGCATCTGAAGAGGATGGTAGTTTTCACAAAACATTTGCAGTACCGAGGAACAGGCCGCTAGCTAGTCCTCTGCAGGTAACTATTCTTTGATAAAAATATGCTTTGTGTACAAAAATACGTGAAGATACATTGGTTTCTCACAGAGTGGTTTTAAGTTTTGAATATGGAAGACTGAAATGTTCAGATGAACGTGGTTGAGGATCTCACTTTACCTGTGGAGCGTGAGGACATGGAGGCTACAGCTGCACCGGAAAGCTAAACAGGGCAAAGCCCCGTGCGTGGGGCATTGTAACTCACCTGGCTCCAGTGTTAAATCGGTCGGATTGAGAAATAACGTGGGCCAGAGGTGTTTTCTTATAGTCTTCTTGAGGGCAGCTTTGTTGTTTTGGAGAGCAGGAGAGTTGAGTGGTGTGGTGGTGGCCAGAACTTGTCACCAGCCTTGGGGCAAGAGCAGAGACTCTGGCACTGCCCGGCTGGCCAGCACAGATGTGGTCAGTATTGACCATCCAGCCAAGCACCAGGATGTCCTTTCCTTGAGCTCAGGCTGAGGTGCCACCAGAAATGTGACGGTAAATGGTGGTCTGAAGGGGCCTCATAATGCTTATGGCCAGTTGTATGTCTTGGGATCTCTGAACTTAATGAAATGTGTGACTGTTTTAATGTAAGCCAGATGTGAGGATGGGTTTTACATATGTAAATTTTTTTAAGTGTTAAGAAACATACACATTTGCTGTACTTTAAAATATAGCTGTTACACGTAGGGCCTGATCCAAAGCTCACCAAAGTCATTAGCAGCCTCTTTGTCAACTCTTGTGGAGAGAAGTCATTCAGAGAATGAAACACAGTGTAGCTAATGATCAATTATCCTTCCACCAGAGCTCGTACTTTTGAGGTAGATGAATAAGTGATTTTATATCCCCTCTCCTCGCAGGCAGATTGAGGGAGAAGTCACTGTCTCATTCTGAGTCACTGTCAGAAAGGAAATTATAACTCCATAGTTCCTGACTATCAGACAGATAGTCCACATGGCTAATCCTTTCTTTCCCCCCTCTTTCCATAATTTACATTATGAGTTATTTACAATAGGAAGAAGTGAACAAAACCTGGTTTTGATTAAGGATCTGGGCATTACATAATACCTAGGCATTATAAAGTGGGATATTAAAATTTCACACATGTCCCTGTTTGGCACAGTTTGCCGTGGAGTAGGTTTGTATTTTGCATTGCAGAATCGTTTGGTGAAACACAGCTTTGGCGAGCAGGGCCTCTGTCACCCTACTGCATGGGGGTGTCCATAGAGGCCAAAGACTCACACTGCCTGTTACTTATTTGGTCTTTTTCTTATGAACAGTGTTTCTTAGCTGCACCATGGTAGATGGCTAAGAGGAGGGTTTGAAGATCCACTGCCCCTGGGTTAGGGCAGTTATTTAGAGGCTGAATTCGGGCCATCTCACGGGAAAGGAGCCCAGGGCTCCAGCTTTGCAGGGGGTCACTGGAGCTGCCTGGCTGGTGCGTGGAAGGAGGCTGCTGGTCCCACTGCCTTGCCAGCGCACAGACACCTGGCCATGTCCCCTGGCCAGACTCCAGGCTCCTCCGTAGGTTTCGGGCAACATTTTCAGGTATCTGAACAGAGTATGTTGTGGGTTGTCCTGTTAGTGGTAGTTGCCTGCACTCTGCCTGTAATAAAAGCAAAGCATTTGAGGTGCCTGTAAAACAGGATCTTTTGATCTTTGGCATAACAGTGTAATGTTTCCTGCTATCTAAAAATAATTTCTTTACAAGCTGCTGTAAGTGAAAGGGCTTGTTTAACCTTCTCTCCTCACTCACGCTGATTTTGTTGAGGAAGTTTACACGAGTCGATTTGTGGGCCATTCTGGATCTCATTCTTCAGTCCTTGCTCAGGAAAAGCACGTTAAAAGTCAGGTATTTTCATTGTTTGAATAAAGAGAACTTTTCCTTAAGTTGGAACTGAGTTAAAAAGGACTTCCCAGCTCATCTTAGTGTTTAAAACATGTTGAACTGAAAGAAAAAGCGGTTGTACAAAGCCCCCAAATGAACTTATGCAGCTTCTTGGTGAGCCAGTATGAAGGTAAAACTACTGTCTCTGTCGAAGAAGAATCATTGAGTGTTTCAGCTGAAGCATAATCCTAAATGAAGAATGAGGCTAGAGGTTTCTGTGACAGTGGCATAGGCAGCTTTTTCAGAACGAAATACAGACATTTATAACAATGCAGTATTGTTTGCCAGTCGCTGAGCTCTCTGAATTGGACTTAGTGTCATGGTTAAAAGGGAATCTGCTTCATCCCTGGTAAGGCTGCTTGGCCTCACGTCAGAGGGTAGTTGTCCGCATACAGCTCAGAAAGGACAGGCGGTCTGGCTCCCTTTCATGCCAGAAACTGCTGGTGCTTTGCCTCTAATGCTTCTCTCTCTCCGTCCCAGTGGAGCCAGACATCTGTGATGAGAACACAGCGTGTCTGAAGGGTGCAAAGCAGTTGAAAATGTTAGTGTTTGCGCTTGATCTTGACTGGTAGCATTTTGTACATGATCTGTTTTTATTATGTTCTTGTTCTATGCTTTCTAGTATATAATTTGGTATATTGCCCACACACATGTACACACACACAAACACTGGACTAAATCCATTGATTCCATGCAGGTAGACTTTAAACACCAGGGAACTCATCTGGGTGAAACTGAATTGTGTCTGCATATGTTTACATTGCTGCTGTTAATATTTTGGGCCTGATCCAACTGTTCTTACTTGGGCAAATTCTCATTGACTTCAGTCCAAGTAAGAATTACAGCACTGTCTGCACCTTGGGACGTGTGCACAGAGAGGGAAGGGAGAAAGAAAGAGTGCACTAAACATTTTTTTTTAAAATATGTTTGGTTCTTAAAATTCCATTTTCTTTTAAATTTGACTTATATAAGAGGGAGGTAGTATGTTTACCAGCCTGCAGTATTTTTCATTGCTTTAATAATTTGCACTGCATTTACATAAAGGAAAATATATTTGGCTAGCAATAAACTCACCAAAATGCCTGATTACCTACTGTTTTGCTGTTAAATTCCAAAGAAGGCAAGAGTAACAAATGTTCAAAGAAATCTCTAGGGATATTTTGTACTGCATTTTGGATACACAAAGGATCATGTGCAACTTTGTAAATAATGGTCGATGACCATATCTGATAGCATGATATGATTCACCGTCACTTAGGACGAAGAGAATGTTGCATCATTTGACGTGTGAGGTCAGGTAGGTGCGTATAACTGCACTGGGAATAAGGTGGTATCAGTGTGGCAGTAGAGCAATGGGAGAAAAAGCCGCCTTAGACCCAAGAAGAGTTTGGGCTTCAGCCTCATTTGATCCCCTGGTTAAGTCTTTGTGAAACGTTGGATGTGAAGGCAGCTGTGTGTAGGATCTTTCTGGTAAGGTGTGAAAGTTCAGCCAGCTTCTTTATCCTGCATGGCAAATCTCATGGTTGTGCATTGGGAATTCTCTTGCTGGCAGGAACAGATGTCTCACCAAACCCACGTGATGCCTTGGAGTAGAATTACTCTTACACTCCATTGCATGGACCCCAAATACTTCTGCTTTATATTGGTGGAGTTAGTTACAACCTGTTTTTTTGTCACTCAGAAATACTCAATTCCACTGTAGGGAGTTTTTTTGCTTCACTAAGAACTTTTCCAGGATTAACATTTTGGGATAACATACAAAGCCATTACTGTGGCAAACTGATGATCTCTACTGAGCATTTGCTTGAATAGTGCCTCATAAGAGGTTACTTAAAAAACTCTGTTTCTGGCCCTTCCTATGTAAAAGTTATGTTTTGTTTCACATTATGTTCTGTAGCAGTAGCAGTAGCAGTACATAATACAAACTATCGTAACATAGACATTTTAACAGATAGAAAAGTAGGCTAAATCATAGACCATCCAACTAACCCTGCAGGCTATCAAAAGACACCATGAAATGGAACCTTTTAAGAAAATAGAGCTGCTTTGATATCTCTTCCCCCAGTAACAAAGGAAACAACTCAAGGTAGAAGCCTGCAAGCTAAAGAGAATGCTCTTCAACCTCTAGCTCCTGTCACTTTCCATTTTTTAACCACAGACTGACACGTTTCAGCTCGAATTTCCTGACTTTCAGCGGTTTATGTAACCATTTTCTTTAAAGACCAAGTATAAAGGATTTTAAAACAGTTTACTTGGTTAACTTTTTCAAGAGTGTGAGCTGTCATTGAGCTTAATTTTCTCCGCTTAAAAAGTGAAATGTAGAATTTCATTTGCAGCTGGTTGTAAGACAAAATGTACAGGCGAGGCAGCATGCTCTCCTGCAGCAGCAGGCTTTCTCTGGTTTTCCTCTGTGGCTTTTTTGGGCCAAGACGATCCCGAAGTCTCATACTCTTCTTTGTTTAGTCAAGAGAAAGGGGGAAGCACGCTGTGCTCGAGCCCCGGGGAGGTTGAAGATTTGCACAGGAAGGGAAGGTAGCCCTGTGGGTTTCCCTCACTTGTGTTGTCCCTTCTCTCGCCAGTGGCTGATGTGTACAGGAGCTGTGCTTGGCACAGGGAGCAAAAGGAGGTTCAAAGTTACAGGTCGGTCATCGGATGTTTTCCTCCCAGGGCAGCAGAATCTGGGTGGCTCACACATCAGGAGTTACAGCTGCCGCGAACAGGCGATGCTCTCTCAGAAAGAAGAAAAGTGACAGCTTAACTATCAGCCATTTGCAGCAACGTGTTCTGATCTGTGAATAAAAAAAAACAACTTAAGGATAAAACTAGATAGGGACTGAATATCCTAATGCGAGTTGCAGGTGCTTAGCCCATTTGCGTATTTCTTCCATTAATCTTACTTGGAAAGCTCACACATCTCAGACAGGAGTTTTATCTCAGTAAGGGCTTCGGGATTAAGCTCTTAAAAATGCTACCAAATATCTCTTTCTAGCCCTGGTGTCAGGCTTATAATAAAGGCTGGAAAGTTGGACTATCTTACTCTCACACATTTAGCAAGCTGTATTTCTGAGCAACTGGGGAAGCTGGGCTGTCCTGTGCCCCAGAGGAGAACTAGCAAC